GCTCCTGCCCCGTGCAGAAGAAATACCGGCTGCCCGGGGTGGCCCCGTGGAGCTGAGTGTTTCTGGGGTGATGGGAAATGGTGGAGGGAGTGGGGGGGTTTAGGCGGGGGTCTCAGCAGCCCGGCTCTCTGCCTCGCTGGCGCTGGGGGAGCTGCGGGAGGAGCGGCGTGTGCTTTCCCCGGTGTCCTGCTCCTCGTCCCATCTGTCGTAGGCGAAGGTGTGCCGGGAGCTCGGGGGGCTGTGTGGGAAAAGAGTGGGGTTAGTGGGGGGGCTCCATGCCGGCCCCCGCGTGCTGCAGGGCACACCTCCGCTCCGGCCGCACCAGGAGCTGGCACGCTGGCAGCTAGTTGGATGGAGCCTCGATCGACACCTTTTTTATTATTTTCTGAGATTTTGGGGGCACGCTCCACTGCAGCCGACTCCCCAGTGGGCTGAGCCAAGCCCCCACTCTGCAGTGGGCCAAGCCGAGCCTGCCCGGTAGCTGCCACCCCCCAGGGGCACCCAGCACCGTATGCTCAGGAAAAGGCTCGTGGCCACGGATGGAAACTCCAGCACCCGCGGGCATCACTGCTCGAGGGTCCCGGTTGCACCAGAGCAACCACCAGGGGTGGGTGCTGGGGCTGTTTCTCCCCACCTCAGCACCCCATAATGCCTCCCCTAGCCTCAGGACAGGCCGCAGGCTGCCCGACTCTGACCACATTTCCAAAAAGGCTTTTTTCCCTTCAGCCATTCTCCTATTCAAGCTGTCGGAAATGATCAAACCTGCTCCAAAATCGCTGCTGGCGAGCCCCGGCGCACCCTCTCCCCTGCCATCAAACGGGGTGCAGAGCCCCAAAGCCCCACAGGGCAAGGCCGTTGCCACCCCGATCCCCCTTCACAGGCACCCTGCACGGCACAGGGCAGCAGGATGCGGCCGCCCTAAGAACCAGCTCTGAGCCCCAACCACCCACCCCGCTCCCCCCCGGGGGTGCTGCCTCCCCCCGCGCTCACACACTGCAGCGGGTGCGTGTTAGTACCCGTCCCCCCGCCGCCTCCGGGGCCCACTGCCCACCCTGGGGGGCTGAATCCCCTGGAGATGCTGTGCTGCCCGGCGAGCCCTTACGTTTTCTGAAGGAATAAATTCAGCTGCATCCTGGCAGGTGGCTGGGGAACCAGGAAGGGATTAGCACTTCCCAGTGTCCCATGTGCCACAGCCACTAATCCCAAACACGGCTCCTGGCAGCGCAGGCAGCTGCTGGTCCTGCTGTGGCCGTGCTGGGGATGTGTCGGAGCTGCCCTGCGGCACCCCAAACCCAGGGCTGGCTGCGGGCACAGCGGGGTGCCCCCTCCTGGGGTGCCCAGCAGAGGTGGGCTCCGTGCCCAGAGCTGGGCGAGGGTTAGGGCGAGCGGTTAGTGGCACACGGGGAGGTTCATGCTGCACAGCACACACTGCTCCCACCTCCTGCCTCAGTCGCTCTCGGGCCGGTACAAATATTTCATCATCAGGCTGTCGACCTTCTTCTTCCGCTGCTTCTCCTCCTTCTTGCCCCGGCCGGGATGTCCCGGCTCCTCACCCCCCGCTGTCTGCGGGCCCTTCTTGACACTGGAGGTGCTCCGGTAGGAGCTGGTGGAGCCAGAGGAGGACTCAGAGGAGGAATCAGAGGAGGAACCTGAGTCGGATGATGACTGCTGCTTCCTCTTCTTCTTCTTGGATTTCTTCTTGGCCTTCTTGGCGCGCTTCTTGGCACTCTTTTTCTTCCGCTCCTCCTCTTCCTCGGAGGAGCCCGAGCTGCTGCGGCGGCGGCCGGTGCGCCGGGAGAAGTCGAGGGCAGATGCGGAGCGACGGAGGCTGCCGGAGGGACGTTCGGCGGCACCCAGGGGGGCCGCGCTCCTCACGCTCCGCATGCTGCGGCCATCGTCCCCTGAATCGGCCTCGGGGCTGGAGCAGCCCCTGGCCCGCGGCGGGTGGTAGCTCAGCACCTCCTGGATGGCGGCTTCCAGGTCAGGGTCAAGGTAGGAGCGGTGCCCCACAGGACGGGCATCCCTGGGACCCCCTTCCTCAGAGGCAGCGCTGCGGGGCCGGGGGGGCACAGAGAAGCTGCGGCCCAGCGGGGGCTGCCCACGGGACCCCTCGTCTGCCTCCTCCAGACGGCTGCGGGCCAGGGAGAGCCGCGACTCGGGGCGACCCTCAGGCCCCCCACGGCGGCTCCGCAAGCTCCCAGGGCTGGAGAGGGCGAAGCTCAGCACCGAGCACCCCTCATCCCCCTCGTCCCCATCCTCCAGCCCGCGCCAGGAGGCGGAGGAGGCCCGGCTCACCGGGGCAGAGGCGACAGAGGCTTTCTCGCCGTCAGCGGCCGAGAGGGACCAACGCTTGCCCAGCCCCTGCCGAGCCCGGCCGCTGGCGTCGGCGAAGGCGCGGGCGATGATGGCCGCCTGGTCCTCAGGCTCTCCGGCCCGGGCCGCCCGACGGGCAGCGCGCTCGGGGGAAGGCGGCCGCTCGCCGAGCGTGCTGAAGAGCGTCTGCTCATCCCCGCAGCCACCTATGGAGTCCTTGAGGCCCGGACGCTTCCTATAGCTGAGGCAGCTCAAGACCGACACCGGGCGCTCCTCGCCCTCGGGACCATCCGGCAGGGCTGACCTGCGCCGGCGGCACCGCGGCCCCGCGCACGTACCGGGGAGGCAAGAGAGAGACGGAGATGAGTGGAGGGGGGGAGGCAGCGGCGAGGCAGCCTCAGTGATTTGCGTCAGTGGGAAATAGCGTCGTGGAAAAATGTCATGTAAATGGGGGAATTGTTCTAGCCTGCCACTTTGATTCCCTTTTAAAGTGTTGTGTTCAATTTATTTCATTGCCGGCTACCTGGAGCCACTTGCATTTGATTCCCGACTTCAGAAAAGGTGGAATTATCTCCAATAACAAAATGTTTTACATCTGCACTGCTGAATAAATTAAACCAATTAAGAAAAACTGGCTCAGATCTTTTTCCCCTGCTCGGTAGAGGCAGGGGGAGCCCCCTGGGACTTCCAGAGCCCTGCTAGGAAATTGGGTTGGGATAAAAGCAATCTGCGCTCTGCAGGCAAGAGCTTTCCCTGGGGAATGGGAGCAGGGCTGTGTGCCCCAGCCTCACACTGGCCTTGCGCTGGGGGGGCACCTGGGCACGTCCCCCGTCTCTGCCAGGGGCTGTGTGGGCTGCCGGTGCTTGCTGCGAGGTGTGGGGAGGGATGTGGTGGGGCTGCAAATAAGGGGAGGGTGGAGGGGGGAACCAGTCCCAGAGTGGGGGGAAAATGCACAGGGCTAGAGCACCGGGGGGGGCTGTGGATGCCCACGTGCCTCCAGAGTGGGTCCCCATACGAGTGGGATGCTGGGGAGGGGGACCAGGGAGGTCCCCTTGGGCACGGGGACAGGTGTCCCCAGCGGATACTGAGCTGCTCACCACTGTTAACCCCTCCCCAGCTGGCCACGCAAGTATCAGGCAGGAGCACAGCACCCAGTGCCACATCCCCTGGGTGCCCACCCCGCACCCTGGCTGTCCCCTGGCTAGGCTCAGCCCGTCCTCTGCCAGCAGCCCTGCGCCCAGTCCCAGCACCCACCTGCTGCCCTTCAGGCTGCCGTCATCCGAGAGTGCTTTGGAGGAGCCTTTGTTCTTGGAAAGCCAGGACTTCACCCCATCCACGCGCTCCTCCAGCTCTGAGTCCACATCCGAGTCTCCATCGCTGCCGGAGGAGTGGGTTGGGGTGGGAGAAAGTGAGAGGTAAGCATGGGGCAGTGAGATTTTGGGTGCTGGGGAGATCAAATTGCACTGGCGAGTGCTGAAACCCCCAGCACCCACTGCCTGTGTACCCTGGCATGGGCAAAACCCCCATCCCATTGCCCTGCTCCATCTCCTGTGGCGTAACCTGCATGCATATAGCTCAACCTGCGTGCTAGGGGCTCCCTGAACCACAGCTGTGCCACGCACCCCCCGAACCCCCAAACCACCCCCCTGCCTGCCCAAGGGGCTCCTGCACCCTCTGCCCGGCCACTGCAGGGCTCCAGGGCTGGAAAGATAAGACAGTGAGGCTGGTATTGGGGCAGCAGGGCAGGGCACGGCTCCAGAAACACGGGAGATTTCCAGCTCCAGGGCTGGGAAGGAAATAAGTGGGTTCATTTTATAGGCCACCGTCGAGTGCAAAATTACAGCAAGGAAGAGCGATGTTGATGGCCCTGGGTAAACAGGAGTTTAGTAGGCAGAACAGAAATGACTCCGGCAAGGCGGGCACAGGAGCGTGGAGGGCAGATTTACAGCCCTGCCGTGCCAGAGAGCCCCTGATTTATGTCCCAGTGTGAAAAAAGCCCTATCTGGCTTAAACCATCTAATTTATAACGGCCGTTCGTAACCATATTGATTGCCTTTAGAAAGAAGGTGCCGTATGCATTGCAAAATCCATTCCTCCACGTTAAAAGCATCCCTGCATAAATCTCCCTTAATACCTAACTGCTTACTGCTTTCATTAGGGTTATGGCAGTACCGGCGGGATCTATAAGGAAATCGAAGCGGCACAGGCCCCTCTCTCCCCGCCCCGCCGCCGACCAGCGAGAGGCGAGGGCTCCCACCAAGCCGCTGCTGGGGAAGGGATACATCATATGATCTTAAACGGCCGTTTTATCCACCCAGCTTTGGGCTTATTCCCTGCCTGGGGATGGCAGCAGATGGCACGGGGGGACGAACTGGGATAGACCCTGTATATGAATCCTCCTCGTTAAATTCAAAGCAACGAGCCGCACTCCATCACGCACATGTCCCTCCCTTGCAATACATCCAGGCAACACTCGGCTTGGAGAAAAAAACAACAAAAAAATACAGAACGACAGCAACAACAACAAAAAAACATCCCTGATGAGCCCCGTAAACAAACTCTGGGGGCAGCTAAGGTTTTATAACGGCGGAATTAAACTCCACGACAAATGCAATTTATGTCCAGGCGAGCGTGCCGTTAGTTAAGCGGAACCCAGGTCATAGGGGAGTGACCACAGTGGGGAATATTAATTGTGTATGGCAGTGGGGCTCCATCACCCCTCCACGCCAACACGTGCATCAGGAGCCATGGCAGAGCATCACCCCCAGCCCTGGCCTGGGGGCTCATCCCCTGTCCCCCCCCCAACCCCCCCCGGCTGCGGTTATGTGCCGTGCCACGTGCCACGGGTGCTGTTAGGGCATGCGGAGGTGGGCCAGTGGCATGCGGGGCCCCGGCCCGTGGGGGTGAGATGGGGGTTAGGGGAGGGGAGGAAGGAAAGAGAAGCTCCTCACAGTTTATTCTTTCTTTTCTGATACTTTGCCACCATGTCCTGCAAACTGGGAGGGGTTGGGAGGGGTCGGAGGGGGAAGAAACAAAACAGAATGGAAATCAAATGAAAGGAAAGAAAAAAAACCCCAAAACATGGATGGGGAATAAAGGGAGAGCAAATTAAATGGTGGAGGAGGGACAGGGGAGGGAGGGGTGGCTGTCTGGCACCCCTGACGTGGGGCTGCACCCAGCTGGATCCCAACATCCCGGGCTGGATCCCAGCATCCCAGGTCAGGTGTCCAGAGAAGGGCAACGGAGCTGGGGCAGGGTCTGGAGCACAGGTCTGCTGGGGAGCTGCTGGGGGAACTGGGGGGGTTCAGTCTGGAGAAGAGGAGGCTGAGGGGAGACCTCCTGGCCCTCTGCAACTCCCTGCCAGGAGGCTGTCAGTCTCTTCCCAAGTAACGAGGGACAGGACAAGAATAAATGGCTTCAAGTTGTTCCAAGGGAGGTTTAGTTTGGATATTAGGAAAAGCGTCTTCACCAAAAGGGTTGTCAAGCACTGGAACTGGCTGCCCAGGGAAGCGGTGGGGTCACCACTCCTGGAGGTATTTAAAAGACGTGTAGATGTGGCACTTAGGGACACGGTTTAGTGGTGGCCTTGGCAGTGTTAGGTTAAGGGTTGGACTCGATGATCTTAAAGGCCTTTTTCAACCTAAATGATTCTGTGATTCTACAATTCTATCCCGGGATGGGCTGGATCCCAGCATCCCAGACCTCCTGCCAGCCTGTGCTGCGCTGGCTCCTGGGGTTCCCTGGGTTCTTGCCAGCCAGCCAGCACGTCCCTGGTGCATTCCAGGCACCTCCGCAAGCGGGTGAATCTGCACGGGGGCTGCGGGTGGAGGGAGGGATGCACAGATGCACGGCTGGATGCACGTGTGCACGATGCATGGATGGACGGACGGACAGACGACGTCCTGCCAGGGCCAGGCAGAGCCAAGGGGTCCCTGTGGCATTTCAGAAGTGGCGAGGAGAAGCCGTGAGCCGCGGTGACGTGCCTCGCGCAGGAGCCGGGCCCAAACGCTCTCACCTGTTGATGAGATCCTCGTTGCTGTCGCTCTCCATCTCATCCTCGATGGCTGCCTGCAGGTCCCCGATGCGCTTGAAGGCCAGCTTCAGGTCCGACTGCAGGCTCTGGTTGGCAGCTTCCAGGCTCTCCAGGTCCATCTCCTGTGGGGAGGGAGTGGGGTGAGCCAGGTACCCCGGGGAAACGCCCCTGTCCCCCTGCCCAGCCCCGCCGTGGGTGCCTCACCAGCTCGTGTTTCTTGCGGCTGGCCTCCGCCTCCTTCTTGGCCAGCTCGCCCATCTCCTCCTTGACGTCGCGGAGCTGCCGCTGCAGCCGCTTGTTCTGCTCTTTCTCCCGGTTCTCGGCGGCCGCGCGCTGATCCCGCTCCTCCGTCAACTTCTCCATGTTCTCCTTCAGCCGCGTGGCCAGGCTCTGCGGAGCGGCGGGCATGAGGTCACCCCGGATCCCCCCACAGGCCCCTCACCCTGCAGCAATACCCACCAACACTCACTCGAGGACGGATCCCATCCCCTTGAATTTACACAAGGATATGGAGGAGAAACACCCCCTCCCCAGGGCCAGGGAAGGGACAGAACAACTGCGGGGGTTTTGTCGAATTGGAAAAATAGACTTAACTGTGTGTGAAGTAATTACAGTGTGTAACGTAGGGAAAAAATAGCTCCCATTCTCCCCCAGCCGCTGAGCCAGCCACTGCATATTTATGGCCCCGGTAGAGAGAGCGGGGAAGGGAAATAACAGCTAGGAAAATATTAAGAGGAGAGCTAAGCTGCTCCGCTCCCCCAGCAGAGCTGCAAAGGCAGAATATAAAGCAGGCTGCATTTAGCGGGGCCGGGAGAGTCTATAATTTCCCTAAGTCAATGCAGGGAAATAGCAGCACTTTGCCGGGCTGGGTGGTGGATTACTGTTATCGGCGCTTGCAGGGAGCTTTCCCTGCGGGGACGGGGCCAGGCTGCCAGCAGGAGAGGGCTCAGCGTGGGGGGTCCCAGGGAGGGGATGTTGGGGACGCGCTCGGCAGATCCCCCGGGGGACTTCGCATCATGGTCCCGTTGCGCCCCGATCCCAGGCGGAGCGGAGGGGGAGCCCAGCACCTACCTCCAGGCGCTTGACTTGCGTCCGCTCGAACTCCAGCCTGGTCTCCAGCTCGCGGATCTTGGCCTCTTGCCGGCTCACCAGTGACTTGTCCACCATGGACTGCTCCAGGAACTCCAGCTGGCTCTGCAGACCTTGCAGCTGCGGGGTGGGGGCACTGCCTCAGCCTCCATCTCAACCTCCCTGGCCCCCACCACGCGCCCTGGAGCGGAGGCGCTGGCCACGCTGCTCCCGTCCTGGTGGAGAGCTCCCCATGGGACTGCCCTGCACCCCCACAGTGTTGGCAGCAGGTCTCTGGGTGTCCCCCTGCTCCCCCCCAGCTTCACTCGGGGTGCATGTCCGTGCCTGATGTCGGTGCTCCCCACCTTCTCCTGCAGCTCCTGCTTCTCCTTGCTGACCTCCTCCAGCTGCGCCTGGAGGTCGTTCATCTGTGCCAGGTCCCGGGACGCCTGCGGGACACACCGGGGCCGTCAGCAGGGACCCCAGTGCGCCGCCTCTGGGAGGGGCGGTATGGGGGGGCCAGGGTGCCACAGCTGCTGTTCCCCCCCTCACCTGGGCCACAGCCGCCTTGTGCTTCTTCATCAGCTCATTCATGTCCTCCTGGTCCTCCTCCAGACGACTCTGCACCTCGTTTTTCTCCCGCTGCAGCCGGCTCAGCTGCTCCTCCAGCTGGGGGGGGAGCCGCTTTTGTCTCCCACTGCACCCCAGGAGCAGGGCGCCCACCCCCCAAAACCACCTCAAACAGCATGGGGTCACCCTGCCGGCATGCGCTGTGCTGGTGGGGGTGTCCCACCAGGTACAGGTGGGGTACAGCCCCATCACAGGGCATCACACCCCAAGAGCACTCACCGCTGCCTTGGCCTTGGAGAGGTCGTCGATCTGCAGGTGGAGGTCTTCGATCTCCACCTCCATCGACTTGCGGGCCTTGACGGCGGCCGCGCAGGTGAACTCCGACTCCTCCAGCTGCGGGGACACGGCTCAGCACCTGGCCAGGGGACGGGGACACCCCGTGTCCCTCAAGGGCTGGGGGTTTTAGAGGGGAGGGGGACAGGTCTGGCTGCACACCTGGTTCTTGAGCTGGGCGATCTCCCTCTTGCTGGGTGCGTTGTTCTTCAGGTGGTCCAGCATGATCTGTGCATCAGCCAGCAGCGCTTTCGTCCTCTTCAGGTCCCGGCGCAGGCGCTTCTCTGTCTCGAAGTCCCGCTGGTTGGCCTGAGGCAGGGGGGACAGTGACAGGGCACCGTGCCAGAGGGGCACCCACCCCTCCACAGCCCTCTCAGGGTCCCTGAAGTGAGGCACATGCCTGGCTGCCCCCCACCCTACCTGCTCACTGACGGCCGATAACTTGCTCTCCAGCTCCCGTTTCTCTCTCAGCACCTTCTGCTTGTCCTCATACTCCTCCTCCAGCTGCACCTCCATCTGCTTCAGCTGGGGGACAGCAAGGACAACCCGGTCAGGGCAGTGGGAAGGTGACGGGACCCCCCATCTCTCGTGTTCTCATATACTGGAGACACCAGGTGACCCCACCAGCCAGGTGTTTGTGCAACCAGAGGCACAAAGCCCGGCGTATGCCGGCCAGGGCAGTGGAGGGACCGGTCAGACCTGCCAGGCCAGCAGAGCCGGGCCGTGGCTGCGTGGGAGCCTGGTGCTGCGTGACAGTGCCCGGCTGACAGCTCCCGGCACCTGGCCAGGGCATGGGGACACATCCTGGTCCCCCCTGGGCAGAGGGGCCACAATTGAGCCCTACCTTCTTCTGGCATGACTGCCGAATCTCCTCCACCTCCTCGTCACGGCTCTCCACCTCTTTGGCGTGGGTCTGCCGCAGCCGCTCCATCTCCATCTCCAGCCGCAGTTTGGCCTGCAAATGCAGGGGGACGTGGTCAGAGCAGTGGGGACATGGGGACCCCCGCCACACTGCTCCCTGGCTGCCACTCACCCAGAAAACCCCCTGGTCCGAGGCCGGGCGGGCTGCCCGCCCCACAGCGACCGGCCGGGCCATGGCACAGGAGCTGTGTCGGCAGCCGCGATGCCTGGCCCGACGCCGGGCTGAGGGCAACCGCCTCCTCTTCCAGGGCAAGCCCGGCCCAGGTAATAACAGCCCTGCATGAAACCACCCCACCCAGAAACCTCGCCCCTCCCCGCTGTACCTGCTCCAGCATCTGGATGGTCCCAGCCTGCTCATCCAGTTCCTCCTCCTGATCTTTCACCTTTGCCTCCAGGTCCCTCAGCTGCTTCTTCACCTTGGCCAGGGAAGCCTCATCCTTTGACTCCTGGGAGGAGATGTCCTGCAGCTCAGCCTCCAGCGCCTCCGCCTTCTGTGTCAGCCCTGCGATGTCCGAGTCCTTGTCCTGCCCAGAGAGGAGGTCACCGTGAGCCTGGGGCTCTCACCAGTCGGGGCACGGGGGAGAGGACTGGAAGCCACTCACCTCCAGGAGCTGCTTGAGGCCGAAGACCTCAGCCACCAGCACGTCCTTCTCACGGCTCAGCTTCTCCCGCTGCAGCCTCTCCCGCTGTGCCTCCTCGTGTGCCTGTGAGAGCTCGCTGTCGAACCTGCGCGGGGGGAGCAGGATGGGAGCTCAGCACCCAGCGACAGGCACTGGGAATGGGTCCCCAGCCTCGCGCCACCGGGAAGGGCGGTGTGGAGCTGAGTCCTCGTTAGAAATGTGCTGTTGATGAGCCTTTAATTGCCAGCATGGCAGCGCGGAGCCACTTGGAGAAACTCCTCCGGATGCCTTCGCTAGGTGGCTAATGGAGAGCGCAGCGCCTGTGGCACAGACCCCGGCAGCCATCCCGCAGGGCTGGCACATGCTGGTGAGGACTGTGGCTGCTAATGGTGGGGACTTGGCTATGGGGAGGCAGCCAGGGACACCACACCCTCCAAGAAGAACACAGAGGGGCTGCAGGACTCGGAGGGGTCTCCAGCATACGGGCTCTTGCAGCAGCTTGGCTCCTCCAGCCGCAGCCCGGTGCTGCGGTCCCACACCAGATGGCACCAGTCCCATTCCTGGAGGGGACACGACACCCCACCCCCCCACACCCCCCGCCCCATGAGGGACTGCTCAGCACATCCTGGAGCCAGGCAGCACTGGGGCAGCCTCTCCCAGTGCCCCCAGGATGGCATCAGCTGGATTTGCTCCGAAATCGCTGCCTTTGGGGCTTAGAAAACAACCCTCCGCTTGAGTCTGTGACCTGAGTTAAACACCTCGGAAGCTAATCCCCATTTTACCTTGCGCTGGGTAATAAACAGCTGCATTAGCACAGACTCCAATCCGCGGAAATTGAAATTAATTAGATTGGATTCTCTTGCTGTATTTGTGTGTGTGATCATTACCATAATGAGATGAAAGCGTCCCTGCTGCTTAATAACATTAGAAAACTTTGGGGCTGGGAAAGGGGACGGGATGAGAGCGAGTGCTGAGCAGAGCCATGGGGCACAAGCAGCCTCCACCATGGGGCATGGCCTCACACAGGGGGTTCACTTGGCTCCAGGCCCCCAAAAAGAGCATTGGGATCCCCCCTGCAATGAGCATATCTGACCCGGGCAGCCCCATCCTTCCGGAGACACCTCGGCCAAGTGGGAGCTGGTGAAGTGCCCAAATCCCTGCTAAAATGGTAATGCCACTTTGCGAGAGGCTCACTGCGCTGTGAGGATGCCGTGTCCCCCCCGCCGCGTCCTCCCCCTGGCCAGTGCACGGTCCCCACCTCCGCTGCTTCTTCTCCAGGTCGTGGTTGCGTCCTTGCTGGCCCTCGAGGTGCAGCTTGGTGTCCTGCAGCTCCGCAGCCAGGCGCTGGCACTTCTTCTTCAGCTGCTGCAGCGCCCGCTGGCTCTCCTCGCTGTCTGCCTGCAGGTCTGTCAGCTGCGGGCAGGAGCAGGCAGGGATGTGAGGGCTCTGGGAAGCCACCACATACCCACTGCCCTGGCCACACGCTCCCCTGGCTCCAAGCTACCCACCCGCTCCTCATCCCCACGCTGAGAGGGCTGCGGGGTCCCCAGGGCTGAGCCCCACTCACCCTCCGCTCCAGCTGCCTCTTGCCCTGCTGCTCCACCTCCAACTTGTCCTCCAGCTCCTGCTGCAGCCGTTTCTTGGTGAAGTCGATCTCCCGCACTGCCCGCTCGTATTTCAGCCGCCATTCACCACCTGTGTGGGGAAATGGGGTCACCGAGGGGCTGTGTGGGGTGGTACAGGCCCACCGTGGAGAGAGGAGCATGGTGCTGTGACCACGGGGCACCCAGGGTGTGCTGGCAGCAAGCACTGGAGGCAGAACGGCACCTGAATCATCATCGTCCAGCTCCCCATTGAGCTCGGCCGCCCGGATGAGCCGAGCCTCCATCACCTCCATCTCCATGGACTCCATCTGCTTCTTCAGAGCATCATACTTGGCCTGGGAGGGGACACAGCTGTGGTGCTGTCTCT